AGTGACTGGAGTTCAGACGTGTGCTCTTCCGATCTGGCCAATCATAAGATTGATTTATCGGTATTATAAATGGCTGTCGAATAAATCAATCTTATGATTGGTCATTCGACGCCATTTTTAATATTTTCTAGTACTTTTGCGATACTGCCGTAAGCCGCGCTTCTCTGATAATCTAGGCAGAAAGGATCCTGATCTAGGACTCTACGCAGTCCTAGAATTATGAAAGTCGCTGGGGATAGTGGGGATTTCGAGTTAAACGTTTAACGGCATTGCTAACGGTAATGTTGAAATGTGTTTCGGAAAATTGCGAAATCCGGCGGATTTTGCCGGGCTTTTGATGTAACCGTTGGCCGTTGCATTGTACATCGTTTCTGTTGTCTGCATTGTCACCAGCCGCATGACTGTTCTTGAAATTGTTGAATTCTTTCTATCGTAACTTCTACGAATGATATCTTCCAACAGTGATTTTGTTTGATCGAAGCCAAATATGCCAAGAGTAAATACAATACTTAATTATTTTACTTCACCGAAAGCTGTCAAGAAACCGGCGGAGGCGAAAGAGGAGAGAGACAAATCGCAGACTCCCAAAAAGGAACAAAAGAACAAAGGTTTGACTTCTAAGTTCTAAAAATGCTTTTTCGACTGATACTATCGATCGCGTTGAGGATAGAATGGATCATTGTCTCTTATGAAATGTTGCTTTTCATTACTGCGACAATATATATATATATATATATATATATATATATATATATATATGTATGAAATGACAATTTATGTAATTAACATTACTCGCATGTAGTTGTAAATCATGATTTCTGACTTATCCTACTTTATAATTATTAGACAAAATTAAACGTACAAAAATAAAAGTTTTATTTAATTGGTAGTTTAAGTTATACTTTATTATATTTTATTTTACTTGTGATTAAATTATTAATGCTGTCATTCTTATTATAATTTTAAATTACTTTTAATTATTAATTTTGTTAAATTATTGATAAATTATCGCATTCTTATAATAATTATATCTGTATTGCGCTATATTTGTATATAGGATTTGTCAGAAATGGAAAAGAAAATAAAAATTCTGATGATAAGAAGAGATTATATAAGGAGGATATTGAGGAAGAAGAAGAGGAGCCTATAAAGCCTAAAAGACGGCGTCTTATTATTCCTGATGTTGAATCTGATGAAGATTCTGGAGATGAATTCAAGCCAGGTTTGTATAAGCAATAATATTTCTGAGTTATCATCATATTAAATTAAAAAGATAACAATATTAAGGTAGTTTTTTAGTAAATTGTTATTTTAGAAATGTTTAATTTTTTTTTATAATAAAGTTGAAGTACCAATCATGATGTGTGCTAAATTCTATGGTAGGTTAACGATGAGATGGAATAAGAGAGAAACTAAAATGTTGAAAATGTTACTTTTAACATATAACTTGGTGACAATTTGGATTCGGAGATGCTTCTTGCAATAAACTAACTGTACACAAATATTATTTTAGACTTCTACAAAAAAAACGAGATTATAATAGTTTTTAAAAAATTATAATTATAATGATCATAAAAAAGTAATATGTCATTCTGGAAAGATATTTAATGTTCAAATTGTAAAATATCACATTACCTCACTAGCAATGTATACATTGTACCTCACTTTCTTATCCTTCTTCATTGTTTCGCAGAGTAGCAATACCATTTGTTTCATAGTAATTCATTAGATATACACATAGTTTTAATATTTTACCCAAATTATACAAATATTTGTGATTTTGGGTGGGCCCTAGTGAGACACTTCAAATTTTTTGGGATTTTGATAAAAACCCTTCTTAAGAAAGGCGACATTATGTGTTCAATATTTTATATTGCAGGTTCTGAATCTGAAGAATCTGATTCAATTTCTGAAGCAGATACAGAGCAAGAACCTTCGACAGGGACGGAGGATGAAACACCAGAGGTAGAATCAATATATATTTCAAGTTATAAAAAATGTTAATGCTGTCACAAAGAAAGTTGTATCTAATATAAATATTTTATTTTATTTCAGAAAAAGAGGAAGACATCCAGTTTTAAATCTAAACCAGGGCAAGCAAATTGTTCTCGTAATACAAAGGCAGTAAGTATATAATTAATCACAAGTTTGATGTGTCTATATTTCTTCATTCTTATTCCTATAAAATTAATTTTTGTACTAATTGTAAGTTTTCTAATATTATCACATACTATTAGAGATGTAAATCAAAGTTTTTTGACGCCGAATCAAATCAAATTTTGTTTCAAATCTTATTCGAATCGAACTAATTGTAAATCGAATTAAATCGTTGAATTTGAAACATAACTTTTAATTAACATAATTATTGTTGAATTTAATTATATAGATAATAAAGATTTCTATCTTTTAAGAAAAATATTGATTTTATGATATACTGTTTTACTTATTCTTAATATGATTTTTATAATGTAGTGGAAAATATGATTTTATAATATTGTCAATATATTTGAATTTTTTAAATTCAAATTCGAATAGTTCGAATCGTAGAGATTTAAATCCGAATCGAATCTTACCTGATTCAATTCGATTCGATTCGTATAGACCACACATCTCTATTGCTAGCGGTTATAACTCCTTTTTGATTACGTATTATTATGCCAAAAGATTAATGCTTTTCAAACAATGCTTTTTTAGAACAAGAAGGATTCAAAACAACCTGCACAAATTCAAAATCAAACTATAAGCAATGGACTTGCCGCCACACATACCTGGCCTCACTTGAAATTAGATTTCCTGCAACCAGAGAAAATAAAGGATATAAATAGAAGAAGACCGAAGGATCCAGATTATGATTCCAAGACGCTCTACGTACCTACCGATTTCTTAAATAATCAAACTCCTGTAAGAGAAATTTTTGTCGTTAAATACTTTGCTATATTTGTTAATATCAGCACAGTTACTCATTTCAAAATTTGTTTAGGCGATGAGACAATGGTGGGAATTAAAAAGTAAACACTTTGATTGCGTATTCTTCTTTAAAATCGGTAAATTCTACGAGTTGTATCACATGGACGCAGTCGTCGGTGTCAATGAGCTCAGTCTCACATACATGCGAGTAAGTCTACATACGTACGTGTGAGAAAATTGCGAGAGGTTGCTCCTCGAATCCGTTATATAACATTAAATATTATTGTAGGGTGAATTTGCGCATTCTGGATTTCCCGAAATTGGATACGGTCGTTACTCGGCGAGTCTAATAGAGAGAGGATACAAAGTTGCGCGAATCGAGCAAACCGAGAATCCGGAAATGATGGCGGCGCGTTGCAGCAAAAGTATGAAATTACAGGAATATACATTTTGTTTTACACGAAAGACAATCTGAATTATACGCTGGACATCCTCCGTATCTTCTTTGTTCGTAGTGGCCAGATCGACGAAATTCGACAAAGTCGTGAAGCGAGAAATTTGTCAAGTCAGTACCAGAGGCACGAGAGTATATACTCCATTGGACGTGGAAGCGTCCACGCCAAACTCCAATTATTTGTTGTCCTTGGTCGAGAAATATGATATCGGTTCAACGACCAGTTCCTTCGGAGTATGCTTTATAGACACAACGATAGGTGAATTTTACCTCGGCCAGTTCGTTGACGATCGCTGCAACTCGAGGCTATTGACTCTGCTGGCTCATCATCCACCAGTTCATGTACGAAACCATAAATATCGCAAAATCGCACGTATCTACTGATAAAAACAAATGCCGAATTTCTGCCTTGTCTTTCAGGTGATATACGAACGCAATAATCTGTCGCAAAAAACTCTGCAGCTTATAAATAGTACTTTGCCGGTGGCGCTAAAAGAGTCGCTACAGCGCGAAACACAATTCTGGTCCGCTACAACTGTACTGAAAGTGAGTAACAAATAGTGCTTAGTACATTAAAACTATGTAATAAATTATTAGTATATATTGAAAAAATATGTACTAAATATCCCTCTTTTGTCTCTTTAAAGAAACTGCACGAAGGAAGTTATTTTAAAAAGGAAAAGGACTCGAACTTTGCATGGCCCGAGGGTTTGAGACCGTATCTAAACGAAGGTAATTAGTTGTAATTAAAAAATTTTCTTTATTTTTACATATTTACGATAACAATTTTTGTTTTATGTGAATATTTTTATTATGCATCAGGAGATAGCTTGGGTTTAACACCGTCCGATAACAAGGAATTAGCGATACACGCGTTAGGAGGATGCGTGTATTTGCTGAAGGAATTCCTACTCGAGCAGCAATTATTAGCGCAAGGCTGCTTCAACACTTACATCCCGCCGGACTTTTCGGCCGCGAGCAACCGGGCAGGTCTTAATTATGCAAATACCATGGTGATAGATGCTGTTACGATAAAAAATCTGAGACTCTTCGGAGAAGGTTCGCTCATTAGTGTGTTAGATCGTTGCTGCACCGCATTCGGCAAAAGGTAAATCTCGAATCTTTTCATGCTAATATTTCTTTTTGTATATTTTATAAACCAAGAAATATAATATTTTTACAGATTGCTGCGCGAATGGATCTGCAGGCCATCTTGCCGCAAAACCGTTATTACAGAGCGTCAGGAGGCTGTGCAGGAGTTGGTGGATCGGATGGATGTAATGCAGTCGGCTCGCGCAATTTTGTCAACTCTACCGGATCTCGAAAGACTTTTGAGCAAGTAAGTCAAAGATTTATCGGAGGTGATAAGTTTCTCTTTTCTGGAAATCTGAAATATTAATATATACATATGTTTCTTTTCGTGTTTCAACAGGATACACGCCCAAGGAAACGCTGCTAAAATGAAAAATCATCCTGATGGCAGAGCGATAATGTTCGAAGGCCCGACATATTCGAAGAGGGTGATTGTAGATTTCACCACGACACTCGCCAAATTCGAAGAAGTGCTGAAATTCATCGAATTGTTCGATGGTGTGCCTCTGTTTTCGTATAATATGAATGAAATATGATATAAATTTTTATGTGTCTAATAATTGTGTTTTACAGATTTCAAAAGTAACCTGATATCTCGCTACACGCGGTATGAACCGGACGGTGAGTTCCCTCATTTAAAGGAGACGCTAGACTACTTTAAGGTAGCGCTTTCACTTTTGATTCCTCTGATCGCTGTTTTTTTTTTTATTCGACATATTTGCGGCATTATAATAATTTCAGACCGCGTTCGATCACGAAGAAGCTAAGAAGCAAGGCTGTATCGTTCCAAAAAAGGGAGTGGACGCTGAATATGATTCAGTTCTAACTGAACTCTCGAAGATCAAGAAAGATCTAGATAAATACTTGGAAAAACAAAAACAGCATTTTGGCGTAAAAGTAACATTCTTTGGAACAGACAGGAAACGTTATCAAATCGAAATTCCCGAGTCGCAAGTTAAGAAAGTTGGTCCCGGATACGAGTTACAGTCGCAGAGGAAAGGCTTCAAACGCTATTATACTGCCGAGGCAAAGGCAAGAATAATAATAATAATAATAATAATTCATACTTTTAATTCTAAAAATAACTCAGAAAAAATATGAAAAGGAAAAATTAATCAATCGTGATCATTGCAGGAACTTTTGGCGAGACAAATGAATGCCGAAGAGCACAAGGACAAGGTGCTGAAGGATCTTAACAGGCGAATATTCGCGCAGTTCAGCGAAAAGTACGACATGTGGCATACAGCTGTTTACAAATTGGCGACCATGGACGTGCTCATCTCGCTTGCGGATTACGCACGGAACGGCGACATGTGTATTCCGAAAATTCAGGAAGGATCGAATGGCGAGGTAACAGTATCGTCGGGGATAATAGATATAAATTACATTCGTTTACCGAAACAATGATAGCGAGCGTCATTCTTGCAGATATTCATCAAAATAAGAGACGGAAAGCATCCCTGCGTCACGTCCGACAACTTTATACCGAACGACACTTTATTGGCAATCGACGGCGCCGCCTCTTTCATGATTCTGACGGGACCGAATATGGGAGGCAAATCGACTCTCATGCGCCAAGTGGGCCTTATCACGATCTTAGCACAGATAGTAAGTCTAGCGGGGAAAATACGAGTGCGACTAATGATCGGGAGTTACGTTGATAAAATATAAATTTAATTTTTCTTGCGTAACCAGGGCAGCTACGTACCAGCCAGCTCATGTTGCATAACGCTGGTGGACCGTATTTTCACGCGGTTGGGCGCGAATGATGATATTCTGGCCGGTCAGAGCACGTTTTTGGTCGAGCTGAGCGAGACAGCCGCGATACTGCAACACGCTACGCCCTATTCACTAGTGCTTCTCGACGAGTTGGGTAAGAACAAGTAGATAAAACTGTACGCGCATATCAATATATGTTCGAAACAAGAGCATTTATTATCCTCCGCAAAATTTTATTACCTTTTTATTATTTTTATGGCATTATTGCGATATTTTAAATCAATTATTCATATCAAAATACCGTTTATTGTTTACTTCATTCCGCCATGACAATGGAATTGATAAAAAATATTTCTTGTCACAGGACGCGGTACATCAACCTATGATGGTACGGCAATAGCGGCTGCGGTCGTCGATGCGTTGACCAAGCTGAAGTGTCGCACATTGTTCTCGACGCATTACCATTCTCTCGTTGAAGATTACAAAACCAATAAGGAAGTCACGTTAGCTCATATGGTGAGAAATTTGACATATTTAAAGCAGATCTTTCATTCAGAAAAGGATATATGTAGAAAGTACAGTCTTGGCTATAAGTGTAAAGCATCCTCAATTTATTATACTTTCTTGGAAAAGACGATAATAAAAGCCAAAGAAAAACTAACAAAATATATTAAAATTGTAAAAATAAATAATAAATGTATCATTATTTTTTATTACAATGAAACTGTTAAATTTATTTTTCGTTAAATATAGAACGTTTACGTTAATTTGTGGGAGACTTTATACTTGTAGTCGAAACTATCATAATTATACTGTTAATTCGTTACACATATTTGTTATAATTATGCTATATTTTTAAGAAATTTCTGAACTTTACGATGCACTTTTAATTTTCAGGCATGCATGGTGGAAACGGAAGAGGAGGAGGAAGTGTCGCAAGAAACCGTAACGTTTTTGTACAAGCTCAGCGAAGGGGCATGTCCAAAATCCTATGGATTCAATGCTGCTCGACTAGCGGGTGTGCCGTCTCTAATCACAAAGAGAGCGCACGAGATTGCCAGCAGGATGGAGCAGGAAACTAATCACAAGCACATCTTCAAAGCTCTTTGCAAAGCCAATGATGCTGAAATAAGAAGTCTCATTGCTGCCATTTAGTGTATCAAATACAGCCCCGCGTTACGTTGAATACTCGTATATCATCTTCAAAGAAACCATTTGAAAAAACAGAATAATGCAGAGTTTGGATTTGTGACTTGTACAAAATATTCTTGAGCGATAAATTATCTAGGAATAGTGTATAAAAATGGGCATTATATACTTAATTTTTGTCAAGTATCTTCATACTGATATCGAGCTGTGCGCTCTAAATAACTTATCATTTTTTTATCTATAAAATAACAGTATTTTCGCTTCATACAGGAATTTAATATGTATAAGTTCTTTATTCATCATCATGTAAAAACCAAAGCTGTAAGTATTTCTGTTTCTGCGAAGTTAATTATTTAATTTTAATACTCGTATTTATCACATACTAATAATTCTTGTTTAATACGTACCTAATGTTTTAATTGCGCTATTTTCATAATAAAAGCTCTCGTAAAAGTATGTTACGGTTGATTTAAAAAAAATTGCCGAGCGTACCTTTTAATCCTTTATGACTATCTTGGGGAGGGGGGTGGGAGGAGAAGAAAGGAGACGATAGTGTCTTGCTTACAAAATTTTTATTAATCATTTTGCCAGAGTATAAAAAAGACTACTTATGACGAATACGAAAATGCATTGTGTTACAAACAATGTTTACTCACACCAAAACGACCGCGTAAGAAATCCTTGCGTGGGGAAGGGAGAAACGATAAATACATGTGCACGGCTCTTTGCTACGAAATAAATACATTTCGGTTACGCGTTTACTATCGTAAAGAGTGAAGAGAAGCTGGGCGACGTGGCACACAGGGGATA